AAAGCTAAACTGATGGGGGCTCATAGGGGCTTCGAGGTAGGAGAAAAAGGAAAGATGAGTTGTGGAAGAGGATGGAGAACAGGCAAAAGATGAGGAAGACTTTCCTCCTCATTCTAGACATTTTAAGCCTACCTTTTACCTAAGTTAACAATTTTTACTGGAATAATTCACTGGGAAACTATTAGAAAACTAATGATATCTCGCTATTCTTTCCCTGAATTAACTTTTTATAATATGTATGTCTAGCTCCCTTCTTAGTGTACACATACATAGAGTATTATCTAGATGAAGAGAAGAAAATGTAGACATAATACGGATGAACCTTGAGGACATTATTCTAAGTGAAAAAAGCCAGCCACCAAAAGACAGATCTTGTGTGATTACATGAGATCCCCGAGCAGTCAAGTCCCCAGGACAGGAATGGTGGCTGGGGGGAGGGAAGCATGCGAAGGCCACGGTCAGTGGGTGCAGAGTCAGCTGTACCATTTGGAGAGAGCTGCAGAGGGGGCTCTGGTAACGGATGCGCAATATTGTAGATATACTTAATACTGCTGAGCGGTACACTTTAAAAGTGTTATGATGGTAAATGTTTAAAGTATATTTTACCACAATAAACAATTTTTAAAAACTCAAATTAGATGTTAAGACACTACATTTAGCACTGTAATGAGGGGTCCAGTGCTAACGTGTCCCCCTCAGTATACGAGGCAAAATGAATTCCCTTCTTTCTATCTATCTATCTATCTATCTATCTATCTATCTATCTATCTATCTACCTGAAACAGGGTCTCACTTTGCAGTTCAAGCTGGCCTTGAACTCACTATGTAGCCTAGGCTGGCTTTGAACTTGAAGTGACCCTCCTGCTTCAGCCTCCCAAGTACTGGAATTATAGGTATATGCCACCACACCAGCAATGAGTTAGTTTAAACAAAGAAATACTAAACAGCTTTGGGGATGCCAATGTACTCAGTGGGATTGTGGGGAGATGCAACTAGACTGAAGGCCTAGAGTAAATTAAATCAGATCTGGTCCTCCTTTTTTTTTTGTCTTTTTGAGACAAGGTCTTGCTATGCAGTTCAGGCCAGCCTTCAGCTCGCTTTGTAGCCCAGGCTGGTCTTGGAACTTGGAACAATCCTCCTGCCTCAGCCTCCTGAGTGCTGGGATTACAGGTGCAGGCCCGCTGGTCCTCCCTTCTTATCAGTGTATAGGCATCGCCATTACACCTTCTCTCCAAAAGGAAACCACATCCACATGCAACTCCTGGGGCTGAGAGTTTATGCATACACTTAGTGACTACTGACAAGAGTACTGCAAACACTTTCCGGCCAACAGTAGAGATGGAATGAAAATAGGATGTCCTTCAATAGAGCAAAGGGGTAAAAATCTTAAGTGCAGACAAAGGGAAACAGAGCCAACAGAAAAATAAAATGCTGCCTGGTGGGAATGAAGGTCGAGGTCTGCAGTCTCTTTATTTTTTTTTAAATCTCTTTATTTTTCTGGGAAGAAAGAGAATGATACTATCTTATCCTGTAACAGGATAAGTAGTCAGGCTATTTCTTTACTCTCCTAAAAGTACCTTCATGGGTTTTGACATTCAGGTATTATAGAACATATCTGACTTTAGAAACAAAAAATGGACTTATTTACATATCACAGGATAAATATAGAAATAAGTTCCTAAATGAAACATCAAAATCAAAAAATGACCTTAAAGGAGACTTAGAACAAAATATTAGCGCTAGGGGCTGGGGATTTAGCTCAGCGGCAAAGCGCCTGCCTGGCGAGCGCAAGGTCGTGAGTTCGGTTTCCGGTACCGGAAAAAAACCAAAAACCAAAAAAAAAAAAAAAAATATTAGCGCTAAAAGATAATACGTTCGTAGTAACAGAAGTCACACGGCAGCGACAGCAGCAGCTCCCGTCTAGTCGGAGCCTCCCAGCCAGGGCCAGGTGCTTTTGTGGACTTTGTAAATTCACTCTCCTCATAACCCCCGGGGTTCACAACGCAGATGTACACTCTGTTCCACCCAGTATCACCCGCGTTACTTCAGCTTTCCTTAAAACAAATCAGTGTAAGAAAAACCAGGAAAAAACAAATGTACAAAATAACTTAAAAAAAAGGGAACGAGAGACTTGACTTTGAAATATCCTTTTTAAAAAAGGATGCCCGTTACACACACACACACACACACACACACACACGCACACACGCACGTGTACACAACCACAGAAACATTCCAGGGTCACTGCAGAGGAGCAGATTTTAGCAGATATTAGAGGTCTAGTAAGTTCCTAAAATAGCCCTGAGATTGGAGTTTTCTCTATCTAAATGGATTAACCTAGAGTCACTACAGGTCACAATGATGCTAATCCCTTTAATTCAGATTAAAGGGATGTCCAAGGCCATGCAGACAAACTGTTAACTCAACTGCACCCCCATCTCCCAGGAAAGCCTCTGAGAAACTGTCACAGTCCTGCCTGTGGCCCAAGACATAGTTTCTTTCTTACAGAGAAGCTACCAGATATTTATCAAAGAAACTTCTAAGGCAAAGCTAAAGAAAAGGGAAATATCAGAAAGGAAAATAAACTTGATTACTTCGTAAAAAACTGACTTTAATATTTTCTATGTAATTTTCTCCCTTTTGACAAATACTGGGTGCTGTGTTTAGATATTACATTCATTCTCCAGAGAAATCCTTGGCAGTCCATTTGTGACTAGCATAAGAATTTCTGTGAAAAGGCCTTGTATGACTATCTAACTTGTGATATATGATTTCAGATAAAAATAAACTTTCTCCTTGGCTTATAAGCCAGTTTTCTTTCAGGTTTAGTGTCTAGATTTCTAGTGTCTCTTGATTATGAAAAAAATTAAAGTGGATGAAAATGCTTAATAAAATATTTTTTAGGATATGATTTACTGCAGTTAGTGGGGTTTTTTTATTATTTATTTTTCGAGATAGGGCCTCCCTATGTAGTTCAGGCTGGGCTTGAACTCACTATGTAGCCTAGGCAGGCCTCGAACTCATGAGGATCCTCTTGTCTCAGCCTCTGGAGTGCTGGGATTAGAGGCACGTACCACTATGCCTGGCTAGTTACTGGTGTTTTTTTTTTTTTTTTTGGTTTTTCTCCGGTACCGGAACCGAACTCACGACCTTGCTCTTGCCAGGCAGGCGCTTTGCCGCTGAGCTAAATCCCCAGCCCTAGTTACTGGTTTTTTAAAGGGCACAGTCAAGAAAACTGAAGGAATGTTTGGCCTACTACTGCAGAAGAAAATTATAATCTTGAAGAAAATTATCTTTTGAAAGCTTATACGGCAAATAGGACATAAAAATAGCCTACCTAATAAATATAGTACAATGTCAAATAATATAGTGCTGAACATAAATAACATGGATTTGACTGAAAAACAGTAATTAAGGATATGTCTCATTTATACTTGTGGTTGTGTTTCTATTAAGTTTTCTTTCTTTTTTTTTTGGTTTTTCTCCGGTATCAGGAACTGAACTCATGACCTTGCGCTTGCCAGGCAGGTGCTTTGCAGCTGAGCTAAATCCCCAGCCCTTCTATTAAGTTTTTATTTAGGTCAGATTTTGGGAAGCAGTATTTTGAGTGCTCATTTTACTCTTAAGGAGAAAAGGAGACCCTCATATTAATTTCTTCATAAAGCAAGATTAATGCTGAAGTTATTTCCTGGTAGATCTGAATTTATTTGAATTGTTTTAAACACCATTTGTACTCCTTTTTTTTCCTTCTTCTTTTTTTCCTGGTACTGGGAATAGGATTGATTTTAAGGCACTGGAATTGAACTACTACCCCAGGTCTTTTCAAAAAAATTTTACAAGTAATTTTGTGAAGAAGTTAGATTTTTTTTCAGTAGTAGGAACTCAACCCAGGGCTTCTGCATTGAGCTACCTCACCAGACATTTCTAATGTATTTTGAGACAGAGTCTCATTAAGTTGTTAAGTTGTTTAGGTTAGGCTCAAGCCTACAATTCTCCTGCCTCAGCCTCCCAGAGTGCTGGGATTACAGGCATGAGACACCACACTTAGCCCAAAAGTCTTGACACTACAATTCTGATCTAGGAAAAGAAAAGTAAGAGGACTACAAAACATTAATTCTTATTCAGGTGTTCTTAGACAATAACTTTTTTAATGCAGTGCTAGGGATTGAACCAAGGACCTAGGTGCATGCTAGCTAAGTGCTCTACCACCAAGCTATACCCCAGGTTCCTGAGAATAAATTTTAACAGTAATCCATTTGTTGCTCTAATAGGTAAGTCACAAAATTTTACCTATTTTGGACATATTTCATATTTTAAATATATTTTCATACTAGACACTGCGATTGTATTCTTGTTAGGATTTTAAAAAAAATTTTTGCTTAAAATACATAAATACTCTTAAAATGGAATTAGTGAGAATGTTAATTCAGTTTAGTAGTTAAAAGCAGGGCTCAAATCCTGCTTCTTTCACTTACTGGGACTGTCATCAGAGAGAAATTGATTGATCTTTCCATGCCAAAGTTTCCTCGTCTACAGAAAATGAAAAACAGCAGCACTTACCTCATGAGGCTGGTGTGAGGAGGAAAAGATGTTAGTATTTGTTTCTGAATGAGACAGTGCTGGGGACTGAGCCCAAAGCCTTGTGCACGCAGGCACACATTCCACCACTCAGCCCCACCCCCACTCCAGCAGTGACTCTTCATGAAGAATTTAGCACAATGCCACACACAGAAGGTGTTCAATAATGGTATGATATTATCATTGTTCTGGGTTTTATTACTGAATACAACAAATGCCAAATTTTCTTCTGTTGGTGGGGCTCAATACAACAAAGTGAAAGAGAACAGAATAAAAATTTTTCATTGGGCACTGTAATGATTATTACAGTGACCTACCAGTTTCCTGACTTACCCTATTTTCACTTCAACAATTAACATGAGAAATGTGTAAACAAGACCTACTGCTATCTTTCATTGAGAATCAATACAGAGGCAACCCACCTGTGCAGCTCTTCTGTTTTGTCTTCAGTTGGACCTACGATTAGTAAACAATGGCGAAGGACAGCTGCCATGACACGGAACTGATGAGAATCACTCTATGCGAATAAAAAAAGGAGAGGAAAATTGGGGGTTGAATGCCGTCACATAGGAGTCTGGTACATTACTACCTATCACCTGCCCCCCAAAACACTGTTATATCATGGAGGGGAACAGCAGGATATTCTAGGAAGAATTCCCAGGGCAACGTCATAGTAGCCAGTCACTGTCCCATATGGGTAGACACAGCCCTCCGGAAACAGCAGATCCCAGGGGCTGCTGATTCAGCCATTCTGTTTTACCGTTGCTGAAGATTTGATTCTACCGGGGCTTTTTCATTTCCAGAAATCTGGATTCTTTATCCCGCAGTATACTGTTCCAGTTTACTAGTCATTTGAAAAGTCCCACACAAATGTAATGCTATCTTAACATCAGGATAGTTATTTTTGGAGCTAGTTCTCATCTCTTAACTTTCAAAAGCAATGAGTCCATCAACTTCATTTTATCAATCTTCTTAATCTCTCAATTCCTGCAGAACAACCTGCAAGTCACAAACAAGTGATCTGAGTTTACCTCCTGCTTTCCCAACCTTCATTCAAGGACGGTGACATTAAAGTCAGCCAGAGAGAAGGTGGCTGACAGCAGGAAAGGAATTAAGCTCTGAGTAACCATTGGGTTTACCACTTCATTTACAGTGAGATCTTGGACCATTAAATCAATTGAATCACCTGTATCAAGGTCTTATCTCTCTTCATCCAGATTATAAGTAATTAAGGTAACACACACAATTAGAGATAATTATGATAGAGAGCTCAGATAGGCAGTATTTCAAGAAGCATGTAATTACTTCAAAAACCCACTAAAAATTTCAAAAACTTCTTAGTATATAACCGATTTTACATCCAAACAAAGTACATTTGTAAGTATATACATATATATAAACTTACACAGTCCCTCTAAGATGTCTCTTAAAATCTAGCAAATGGGGACACTTTCATTACTCATAATGTTGACGACAACATTTTAAACACATCACCATCATATGCAGAGCTGGAAAAGATAAAGGCCTCAGCGGCACAATGGAAAAAGCACTGTACTTGGGAGACAGGTGTCTGGGGTACGGACTCAGACAAGTCACACAGCTCTTGGCCTCTGTTTCCTCACACTGGTTCTGTTAGGATTAACAAAGATGCTATGCGTAAAGTGCTTTAAAACTTCCAATAGGGGCTGGGGATTTAGCTCAGCGGCAAAAGCGCCTGCCTGGCAAGTGCAAGGTCGTGAGTTCGGTTCCTGGTACCGGGGAAAAACCAAAAAAAAAAAAAAACTTCCAATAAAATGTGAAGTTGACATGGGAGAGGTGTTGGGAAGGAGACAGAAGGTGAAACAGGTAATAAACACTGTGGGGGAAAGGAAGAGGGAAAGCAGAAGAGGGAGCAGAACAGTCTGGCAGGGTTGAAATGAATGCGGTCCATTTGCCATGCATCCCTGAACGCCTGGGTGAAAATGCTCTCAATATATAAATATGCTTTCACTTACACCCAAATCACACAGTGCACTGAAACCAGTATCAAATTCAACCATTATGTAACTCCTGCTAAGATATTTTCCTTGCTTTTGGAAATTCACTGGGAAATGTGTGACCTTTTAAGCTAGATTTGTCTTTATTTTATTTTATTTTACTACTAATTTCTCTTGGTTTATTGAAAGGAACAGTTAATGTTTACTTTTTAAAATCAATCTTGCATGCCTATATCTGATAATCTGAACAACTACTTTGAAGATAGCAATATGCAATATAATAACCATTGTTGATTTCGTACCATCTTGTTTTTGAAATTCTGTATCTTTTTAATGTTTTTTAAAATTCTCATTAAAAGGAAAAAAAAGAAGAGAAAAAAGGTTAAGACAGGGGCTGGTCAGGACCTGGGTTCCGTGGGGGGGGGGTGTCAGTGAAGGACTGCAGAGGCTGGTGACCTCACAGCTGTGTCCCATGGGACACGATCAGGTACCCCGAGGACCATGGCTGCCTGAGCTGCCTGGGGACTACTGCACAGAGCTCCAACAGGGGTGTTGACAAGCAGGACAGGGATGGCAACCGCAGCTGGGACTGTAGGGCTTGTTTTCTCCATTATACAGAGGGAAACTGAGGCACCAGGAACAATATTGATGTCACCACACCTAGTGTTACATGTGACACTTTATACACCTGCATAGCAGTGGTATTTTATTCATTATTCTGCTCCGAATTAAACTGCACTAAGTTAAAAAAAAGAAGGGGGCTGGGAGTACAGCTCAGAGGTACAGTGCTTGTCTAGCATGTGCCAGGTCCTAGGTTTGATCCTCGGCACTTTCCATCAGCCGCCAGAGCCATGGAATGATGCGAGCCACATGCTACTTCAGCAACCTGCTTGACCCAGAGATTGGTGCAGATGTGGATCGGGGCGATGCCTTGGTTGGTCATCCCGATTCCCAGCTGGCTGTGTCCATTGTGGCCCCGGGCATAGACCGCTCCATCTTCAGTGCTGAGAAGCTCCCATCACTAAGGCTTTTAATCTTTCCGCATAAGGCTTCCAGCTTCTTGGGTACGAGTACACTCTGGTTATCTCCAGTTCCTGGGCAGTAACTATAATTCAGTCCAAACACAAAGACCTCATCACTGTCAGCGACGTAAAGCGCTTCATCGGCTGAGGTGCCAAAGACACATGCTTTCCAAGTAGATGCGATTTCTTGAGGTGGAGCAGAGGGAAGACCGGCCACTTGCCTACATCCACCATGAGTCTGAGTTGAAGAAATTCCCATAAATAAGCTGACAGCTCTGCTTTGGTTAAGCAGATCACTCACTTTCCCTAGCAATCCCTCCTCTACTTTCAAGCTTGAGTCTTTTCCTCAGCCTTGGTGGTGAGTTGATGACTGTACTGTAGTCTTCATACAAGCTGCAATAGCTCAAATGGTAGCCTGCGGAGCCGGCGCCGCCCCGCCGTCTGGTCCAGGCTCTGCGCCGCGAGGTCTCCCAGGTGCACCGGCTGCGCACACCAGAGCGAGTGTAAAGCAGCGCCTGCCTTTATTTTAGATGAAACAATCTTTCTCTTCTCAGCGATGGAGACAACCCGCTTGCAAAATTAACCACTCTGTCTTTTCATTATCTGTAAGTCCAAGCTAAAATCCTACTTTCCACCCCGTCTCCTCCTTTCCCAGCTTTCATAACACATATTCCCAAGTCCCTGTTTGCAATATCCTCTTTTATTCTAAATCTACTGAAATCTATTTTTCTACTCAAAACAACTTCTGAAACCACTTTTACTCTTTACACTGCCGAGTCCTTTTCATCCCCCAAGTCTCAACTGAAATATCTTCTCAGAGAAGCCTCTTCTTTGGCCACCGGATCTAAGCGGATTCCTTCTCTCATGATTCTCCATCACTGTTATCTTTTGAAGTTCTTTCATGCAATCATAATTTGTAATCTCACATGTTAATTTTCTTGTATATATTTTGTTCTATACCATCATAAAAACAGTGTGTCACACATGCTCAATAATTTTAATACAAATGTTAACGATAACGTATAAACAGAAAAGGGCCAAATTATAAGCATCCTGGTAAGCAGCATCACAAAATGAGTGTACGTATATGACCAGTATGAAAGTCATGCAATGCCAGGACTAAGAACCCAAGAATTCTCACACGCCCTGCACTGACACTCTCCTGCTCTGCAAAGGCAGTTTTCAGTGTCACAGGTTAGTGATCTGTCGGCACCATACTCCATGTGAACAGAATCACACAGACCCTGGTGTCTGGCTGAGATTCATCCACACTGATGCATGTGGGTGCAGCTTGCTTCTTCACTGCTTAAGAGCAGGGCTGTTCCAAGTGTGGTGTTGGTCCACACTGCCTGTCACCGATATGCAAAGCCACGCGAACAGACAGCAGAACACTTAGAAATGTTCTCAGTCGTAGAGACTTTCGTTTTGGTGGCTAGGGAAAAAGAGTTGGTCTTTTGTTCACCGCAGACAGGTTAAGAGAACAGTGCTAAGTAGTGTTCCACTGGGTGAATCGACCACAGCTTCCCATCCATCGTACTCCTGATGGATACATGGATGACTAACTGTATGAACACACCTTTTACATGTCATTTGGGATCTAGTGGGTATGGACCCAGAACAGGGAGGCGGAATCACAGGGGATATTTCTAAGTCAAGTTTTAGAAGACACTGCCAGTGTTTCACAGTTTTTATGCTCATTTATTGTCATGGCAGTCTCTCTGCTGCTGCAGGTACTTGATAGTGCCAGCCTTTTTGATTTTAGTCCTTCTCATGTATATGTAATGGTTTCTTAGTTTTAGTATGCATTTTCCTGATGACCAATAAAGTCGGACACCTTTTCATATGTTTACTGGTCATTTGGATAGCTCTACTGCAAAGTTCCCATTCAAGCCTTCTGCAAATTTTTTTATTTGATTGACTTTATTTATTTGTTTATTTAGTCTTTTTGAGACAAGGTTTCACGATGCAGTTCAGGCCAGCCCTGAATTCACTTTGTAGCCCAGGCTGGCCTCAAACTCACAGCGATCCTCCTGCCTCGGCCTTCAGAGTGCTGGGATTACAGGTGTGCACCATCCTACCCAGTTCAACTGACTTTATTTTTATGAATCTGTAGAACTTACTCCCTCTGAACAGAGCCCTTTACCGCCCATATATGTGGCAATACCTTCTTCTATTTAATGGACTGCCTTTTTAATTTTCTTTTGATAAACTCACTTTAATAAAGAGCAATTTGTGAATTTTTAATTTTAACATTTGATCTTTATTTTGTCCTGTTTTCTTTAGAAATCTTTGCTTAAGAAACATTTAAGTTTGAAATAAAGGCATGAGAATCTCCTGTAAGCTTTATTATTTCATCTTTTATATTTAGGTCTCTCAACCAACTCAATTTTTTTTGTTGTTTATGGCAGAGGTAGGGATACAAATTCATTCTTTCTAATACAAATGAACTAGCACCATTTATTTAAAAGCCCACCCTTTCTCTGGTGACTTCCATGTTACCTGTATCATAAGCCAGCTGA